AGTGTTAGGATTTCTGTGGAAGGGTTGCCAAGGGAAGGTGCAGACCAGCAGCAGCATTCCTTCCTGGCACCTTCTCTGTGATAGCAATCACTGAATGTTTTCTGTGATTCAGTGGGCTACGTCTGAATTTTTATATATTCAGTGAAAAATGATTTTACTGAAAAAGTGTCGATCACCAGTGTTAGTGAGTCTATGGAAGGAGTGTCCAGGCTACGTGCTGGCTGGCACTAGAGTTTCTTCCGGGCACATTCTCTGTGGGAGCAATCGCTGCACATTTGCTATTAGAGTAAGTGTTAGGATTAGTATTAACGTTAGGACAGCTCCAAAATGGGACACATCCTGCAAATGCTTCCTGAGAGAAGATGCCAGCAAGGAACTGAATTCCTGTCCTTGCACCTTCCCTCTGCCACCTTTTAACTGCCCCAGCCAACTTGATCCTGCACACTTGCTTTGGCAGCCTGACATGGCCTTTCTGTCTCAGCCCTCAGGGAGCCCAGCTCCAGAATTAGACACGTCCTGCAACTGCTCCCACAGGGAAGGTGCCAGCAAGGAATTGCTTTGCTGCCCTGCATCTTCCCTGGGATATCTTTCAGCTGCTCCAGTCAACTCATTCATGGGTGCTTGCACGTTAGTGTTAGGGTTAGGGTTTAAGATTAGAGTTAGGGTTTAGGTTTAGGATTAGGGTTAGGCAGGCGGCTCTGGCCCTTTTAGATTCAGAAAAGGCCCAGACTGAGACATTTGTTTAGCAGTCCCTCACCAGGTGCCAGCAAGGGATTGCACTGCTGCCCTGCACCTTCCCTAAGCAGCTTTTCAACTGCCTCAGTCAACTTGGTTTTTTCGAGCTTGCCAAGCCAACCTGTCCTGAACTCTGTAGCTTATGCCTTAGGGAGCTGTCCTGGATTCAATTAGGATGGGGTTAATTTGCACTGGAATCTGGTATGGGGAGCAGTCAGGATAGCCAAATCGAACTAGCCACTAGCCAAGGGTATATTCGATATCATGACATCATTCGCAGTGTACACATACGTACAGGGGAGCTGGCCAGGGCATACATGCACAACGGCTGGTCCGAGACATTTGCGTTGGACATCGTTCATGTTATATACTATCTAGTTAATACTACTGTTGCTACTGTTATTCTTTTCCCCCCCTTTTTATTATTATTTTATGTTTTACTATTTAATCTGTTACCTCAGCCCCACTAGTGTCTAGCTACTGTTCCTTCTGGATTTTCCTCCTCATTCCCAGCAGGGGAGGAGTGAGCAAGTGAGCGACCTCATGGCTCAGGTTTTCCCCTGCTGGACAGTTGGCTCTGAACCATGACACTATTTAGCACCCAATGTGGGGCAGAAGGGTCTCTTGTTGGCCCATCAAACACTGTTCCCATAAACATTGGTGATATGCAATTGCTGAGACAGCTTATCTTACACTCTCAATTCACATGGAGACCAGCTGCAAAACTGAAAACATCCAAAATGGTGCTAAACTAGCAATGCTATTGCTGACGTGCATCTTCCCTGGACAGCCTTTCCTCAAGCCCCACTGGCATTGGTAATCAGCACTTTCTGAGGGAACTGGTTCCCCATTCAATATCAAAGTCAAAATTATGCCATCTCAAAAATTGAAAACATCCACCAATTGCTCCAACCAAAAGAGGCCAAGGAGTAATGCTATTGCTGACATTTTCCTCCTTATGGATGGATCTTCCACAGCCCTACCAATACTGGTCATCCGCAATTTCTGAGGCAACTCTATCTCATATGGAGCCCACTTGCAAATCTGACATCAACCAGCAATTGCTCCCACAGAAATGGTGCCAGGAAGAAATGGTGTTGCCGGCCTGCATCTCCCATGCGAAGCCCTTCCACAGCTCCCCTAACAATGGTGATCCACACTTTCAGAGACAACTTAGCATCCAGTCAGTATTAAACTCTAAATGGAGAGAGCTCCAAAATGCACAACATCCAGTAAGTTCTCCCACAGCAAAGCTGTTAGTACAGCAGAGTACTGGAATAGTCTGCTGTCAATAGAGCAGAGTTGTGGAAAAGTTGGATAGCTTATCTGCTGGTTATTACCAGCAAAGGCTGAAATTAATGTGTAAGAGCTGTAGACATGGTCTCTCAGGGAAGCATAACATTATCTTCTTCCTAGACTAATACCTGCTCATATTGTTTAAATCCCAGATGAGAGAGACAGGTCAACCCAAACCTTTTTAGACTTGACTTTTTACTGAAGATAAAAAGAACATATGTAAATTTTTATCTGACTGTACAGAAAAGCACTATGAACATTTTTCACCAGTCAGAATTAATGGCATGCACTGAGAGTAATTTCAAGCCTATGTAGGTTAAACCTGTATTAGAAAGTCTTTAAAATTCTTTTCATACCTCAGAAAATCTACAGAAAAGTGGTACTCCAATCCACTCACACTTTTGTTTCAATTTACAGAATCACAGAATGGTAGGGGTTTGAAAGGGTCTTTGAAGATCATCTAGTCCAACCTCCCTGCCAGAGCAGGATCACCTAGAGTAGATCGCACAGGAACACAGCTAGGCAAATTTAGAAGTCTTCAGAAATGGAGACTCCAGAAGTTCTCCAGACAGCCTGTTCCAGTGCTCTATTTACCTCACAGTGAAAAAGCATTTCCTTATGTTTAGGTGCAACCTCCTGTTTTCCACTTTGTGACCATTGCCCCTTGTCCTGTCACTCAACACCATTGAGTGGAGAGACACTCCAGTCAAAAGACAGTCATGGCAAAAGCCTGAAATACAAATGCAAATACTCTGTTGTTATACAAGTGCAACTTTTTTTTTCCTTCAGACAGGAGGGCTGCTCAGTAACGTATTTTAAATCAATTTTGTTACAACTCACACATTCCTTCCTGCAAATGTGAATACTGTCTTTAATTTAGCATTTTTCTAAGTTCATTCTAAATACTTCATTTCATACTGTGTTCAGCTCTCAGGCCACCAACATAAGGACATGGACCTACTAGAGCGAGTCTAGAGGAGGGCCAAGAAGACAACTGGCAGGTTGGAGCACCTCTCCTATGAGGACAGGCTGAGAGTTGGGGTTGTTCAGCGTGGAGAAGAGAAGGCTCCAGGGAGACCTTATAGAGCATTCCAGTACTTAAAAGGGGCCTACAGGAAAGAAGGTGATCGACTCTTTATCAGGGACCATGGTGACAGGACAAGAGGGTACTGTTTCAAACTGAGAGTAGATTTAGTTTAGGTATTAATAGGAATAAATTCTTTTCTGTGAGCACTCTCAAGTTCATTCAATGTGTAAACTTCATTCTGACCTCTGATGACTTTAGGTATTTCAGGAATTCTGCTGCTTTGGAAAAAACAGGCTTAATAAAGATATATTAAGCTGTAACTTAAGACAATTAATTCCTCCCATGCTAACTCCAGTCTCAGAAGAACCTTGTCTGGCAGAGTAAATTAAAATGGTGATTTTTTCCCTCCTTGATATTTAAAATGGAAATGCGATTAAAGTCACTTAATTTGCTTTCCCATTCCTACTAAAACCAGCTCCAGTTGTATCAAGAACCAGGTCTACACACCCTGACTGCAATCACTTTCTTACCTCTGTCAGTAGACTTTCATGCAGTTGTAAAAGGAACACTCATGTACTGTATCTCTTCACAGATCTGCCATGGTTTTATTGAAGACCATATACAGCTGCTGGCTGAGACTTGCTTTTATATTGTTCCAGAGAGAAGACAAAAATTAAATAATCTGAAAGCAAAAGCATACTGCAAGACAATATAAAGGCTGCAATTCTTCCACAGGCTAAAACCTGAATAAGGCATCTGGCATTATCAGATAGACACACACAACACAGAAGAGATAGTATCAGACGTGCTCGCAGAAAACCAAAGGTCAAAGCCCAAGTTCCTAATTTCTCTTACTAAGATAAGTAATATATGTCAATTTTCCAAACTGTAATGTATAAACTCTTATCAAGTTGTCCTTCCCAAGAAGGGTTCCACCTCATATGTTACGAACAAATATACAGAAAAATTTAAAATGCTCTCTCTTACTTGAGGTTGCTTCAGTGTTCACACTTCTCACCATTTTTTGATGTGTTTTTAAATATTATGATATGTTTTTAAATATTAAAACCATTTAATTTTATTACTAGACATATCTTTCTTAAAATAAGAAAATAAAAAAAATAAAATGAAGGTATTTATTTTTCTTCTAGGTCTTCAGACACCAAGGATATAACATAATCAAAGTCATAGTAATATTTCTGAAGATATAAGTTCCAGAATACTCATCACTTTATGTAAGTTATTAGATTAATTATTAATAATCAATTATTTCCTTTATAGAAATTCAATTTATTGGTAACTTTGCAGGCACATTAAAAATCTTGCTAGGTCTGTACAACACTGTTACGTATTTTTCTGCATAAGTTTTAGAAACAAAATCTTGGAGTGAAGGAAAAAAATGAAGCCAGCAATTCTCACTTATTTTTTCCCCTCACTCCAAGATTGCTCATGTTTGTACAGGTACAAAAAAAATCTTTTGAGTACTAACTGCTATCAAGTTCGCATTGATGATTTTTAATTAAGATAAACAAATATCTGTTTATAACATGAGGACACTTTAAATTTAAATTTCATGTCATTGCAAAAACTGGTTTAAAAAATTTCCCTTCCCTCCATCTCAGGTGGAATCCTCTACACAACAGAAGATTCTTGATCTACACACAGTACAACTGATTTAGAAGATACTGTTGGATATTACTGCAGTTAAATGATCTTAGCTGGTACTACTAATAAAATTTAAATTATTCAACAGTTTTAACCTGAAACACAGAATTAAATCCTTCCAGCAAAATCACAAGACCTAGAATGAAGCTTAAACTTCCAGAAAAACATTTCATTGTATAGGAGAGAGGACTCCATTATGTAATACTATTATTAGATTTTAGTACAATTCTGTCAGCTGTATATGAGTTTTCTGTTGTTCTACAAGAGCTTTAATACATTATTTCCAGAAACTAGCTGCATCCAAGCTTGACTTAATGTTGTACATATTTTCTCGATGTTGTTTGGTATAAATATTTGCCTCCCCTTTTTGCAGACGTTGCCTCAGAGCAGACTTTTGCTGTTTTGTCAGTTGACGTTTTATCTTCCATTTCACCTGTTCCTACAAATAAACAAAAAATTCAGTAACAGAAGTTTCTGTAGATAGTTTAGTACTAAGACATGGCACAGCATTAGCACACTGATTAGTGCAAGATCCTAACCAAAAGATCTCCATACATCGAGAAGTTAGTGATCTACACAACAGCTAACATGAGTAAACCTAGGTCTGTGCTATGTTGCACTAAGCTGCAGGGCTTACAGGTACAGAGCTGTCTTCTGGCCTGTGTTGTGCTGCACCAACCTTTTGGCAGCAGGATAAACTAAGGCAGCTCCCGCTTATCTATGGCAATTAGGCCTCCTGTGTAGTCCTGCCTTTATCTAAAAGTGCAGCAAGTTCTCATTAGTTCAGCTTGAATGCATATGATGGCAGAGGTTGGTCTATTCTCCCTAGTGGAGACTGAAAGGACAAGGGGCAATGGATTTAAATTGCGCCAGGGGAGGTTCAGGTTAGATATTAGGAAGAATTTCTATACTGAAAGGGTTGTCAGCCATTGGAACAAGCTGCCCAGGGAGGTGGTTGAGTCACCATCCCTGGAGGTGTTTAAGAGATGGGTGTTTGTTGCACTGTGGGGAACTGTTCAGTAGATTGATAGGGCTGGGACAAAGGCTGGACTCACTGAGCTAACCGGGGATCTTCTAGGTCTTTTCCAGCTGATACAATTCTGTGATTCTATGGACCAGGTCTGCGTGGTAGTGCTGGAGTCCTGGTTCAATGCTACACCCTCAGGGCCTGCAGCATCTGAAAGGGGTGTAGAATTACCTGTGCTATTCTTTTCTGATAGTCTTAGCTCTGATAAACAGCTTTTTAAATCATACCTTACAAAATTTAAATTCTTATGGAAATCATGCAGGACCAGCACCAATTGGTGCAGAACACACACTTTCTACAAAAAGGTAAAAGCTGATACTATTACATGCTTGAATATTAGACAAATATCTTTTTAAGCACTCTGTTTTTTCTAAAGTTTGGATCTGAGTACGATTCTAATGGAAAACAACAACTCCACCACAAGAATGGCTAAAAAGATGTGCAGTCAGGAGCGATTTACAATTCCTCCTCCAGTTTTCCCTTGTTACAAGGCACTTTCTTAACCTGACTCAAAAGGTCAGGACTGTGGCATGCATCTACAGCAAAAGTACTGAAGCAGCAACAGCAACTGTTATTTCCATAAAACTGTAGTAGTTTCATGAAATTTCATCTGTTATTTACACCTATGTTTTCTGTCTGAGTTCTGCTCTCCATTATGATGCCAATAGCTACAAGGACAGGAAGATCCTTCATGTGGAATAGCTCATCTTCAAAATTCACAATTTACTTTTTGGCATAGCCTCCAAGTTATGACTGTTATTACTGCCACTGTTAATATATTACCAACGTACATTTCCTATATTAACATGAGTGCTTGAACTTGTTTCCTACACTGAACAGAAAACAAGCTGCATAAACAACAGTTAAATGCTAGCACCAGTAACAGGCATCAGCTCTAAGTAGCCCAGTGGACCTTACTGCAGTGCCATTATTTTGCATTTTTGGTTTTCTAACTATTTTATTATGTTACAAATAGCTTCTTATACATACCATTTATTTAGCTCTAACATTCTAAGTTAAAATAAGATTCAGCAACAGACAGAAATGTTATTTTACTCAGCATAAATTCATGCAAGTGAAAGCATTATGAAAGGTGAATTGGTGCGGGATAGTTTTTTATGTAGTTGTACTTCCTGAAAGCTCTTCTGGTAAAGTGTTTTTATCTTTCTTTCAGAACAGAAAATTAGGTATGTACGTGTCATTTACATATTGTTAATACATTTTATGTGTCTGACTACAGACTAAACCTACATACTCTAAATACTCAGGAAGGTTTCTGTAGCTACAAAATGATCACTGCTACTACCAAGTGGTGTACAAGAGTCAATTTTTTTTAGGATTTAGCAGCACCATTTTTTTAAATATGCACTCTTAAAATAGCAAACTCAAAATAAAAATTGTATGGACACTAGGGAATTCCTGGCAGGTCATCCTGGCTCTTGTTTGCTTCTTCTCATAGTTTTAAACTAATCATTTTCTCCCTAAGAAAACAAGGCTATTCCCTAGAATAAGAACTGTGATGATGACGATTGAAGTTGTGGGGCTTTCTTCTCTCATGAAGACCTTTGAAAAATGTCTTAAGATAAGATGCAAACATTCTATTCCTTAACATTTATTTACACATACAATTTTATTGGTTATTGGTGTATCTTTAAAATATTTATCTTAAAAGAATAACTCCAAATATGAAAGAGTAAAGCAGAGAACTATTCCATGAATATTACAGGCACTGACAAGCATCCTGTTTTAAACAAGGCTTCACAGCAGCAAAGCCTATGTTAGAAAAATACTGAAGCAGTAAGTACCAGACTGAAAAGAATGTAAATGAGGAAGATCAAGTCTAGCTTTGGAGGAAAAAAAAAAAAAAAAAAAAAAAAAATCACTCTTGCCAGTACTGCGGGTTTCAGACAGAGTATTTCTAGGACTAACAATCTAATTAGGTAAAATGTTTTGAAAAGACACAAATTGTATAAGTACATATTTAATTGTACTGAAAGAAGTTGTAGCTGAAAGTTCTTCTTGATTTTTACCAGAATACTTTATAAATAATAAAAAACAGTGGACTTTCTTCCTTTTAAAGAGAAAATGCACTTTTAAAAACGTGACAGAGCTAGCCATACTGACTAGTCTATATTCTGGGGCTGACAAAAAAGACATTCAATTCTGCTGAAAATGTTCTAATTATATAATGTAGAAAGTCAAATAAATTCATATTGCCAAAGAAATCACTACTGAAGTTCATATAAATGTTTCAGAAAAAAGCACAATCTCTATGATGACAGGTGAAAAAAGCCAAATTAAATCTTGACTCAAGCATTCACTTTTAAAATACAGAAATAGTAATTGTGACTAGCAACAGAAATGAATGAACTGATTATATGCTAGTGCATTAATATACATTAACATATTAGTCTGTTATTGGCTAAATGAGAATTGTTGATGCTGATGTAGAACTTTGGTGAAAAAAAAAAAAGACCAATACATGAAGGGAAGTGCTGGAAATCATTCCCGGATGTTAAAGTGATGATAAATTTTTATACCAAATGTGGGGGTTTTTTTGTGCAAATAATCCTTTCAATTTAAATTGTATTAAATTAGTTGTGTTAAAATTGTGTTAAAATACTGTAAACGATTACAGAATCAGTCCTATTTTACTGTAAGCATGGAAATACAAACCAGAGAGGTACAGTCTTTAAGTATTTAATGCTGAAGAACATTTTTCCAAATATGTACTAACAGCTATAAGCAATTTAATATGGACTGAGAGTAAACTAGATAATAACATAGTAACAATAATATTTACCACAGGAATGGTTGAGCAGCTCCCAGCACTTCTGACTGATGTGACACTTTTAGTCGTCCTACGCTTAGCAATATGAACGATACCTTCTTCATTTCTAAAACACATAAATCAAAATTTTATTGCACTAGAAAGATAAACATAAACATCCTTTCCTTTTCTGAGCATCATTTTTCCGTCTTAACTTTTTGAGCTACAGTCTGAAAACTCCTAACAGAACATTTACATTTTAAATATTAACATTAGTTGTTCTAAGCAGACATTTTATGCAAGGAAGAATTTATTGCACAACAGTCACATGCACACCAAGCACATGAGAAGAAGCTTCAAAACACTCAAAAATATTTCAGATTCTGCACAATATTTTTGACAACTCATTTCACTAAAAAGAAAAAGCGGATGAGGGGGTGTATGAGCTTCGTATATGCATTCATGTACATAGTGGGCTGGCAAGCTCAGTTGCAAAATTATGTACGAGGGTCTAGCCTCAGGGTATGCACAAATTTTAAGTACATCAGGAAAAGGAATTAAAAGCTAGTTGAACAATACATTCCAAATAGCTTGGTCTTGCTGCCTTTAGCTGAGCAAGCAACCGAATAATTTGGCTTTGAACCAGAGCATTCAAATTACAAACTTATTATAGAAGTTATTTAGAAGCAGTATTTTAGTATTGAGAATTCTTTCACTACCAGTATTAACTGAAATAAAGAAAAAAAAATCCACGAAAGGAAATACCTTGGTTTAGGAATTAAACCCAAGACCTTTTCTCTCATTAGAAACTACTACACAGAGGGACAACTGATATGTTACACGCTACATATGAAGCATTACATATGTAGTACCAATCAACTGCTTACCTATCATGAGATCAAAGGGAAAGATATCCACTGCAATGTTTTCAAAACAAACTGAATGTTTAGTCTTCATTTTTAGCAAGGGTAGCATAAAAGCAGTCCTTCATGAGCTACTTGAAAGACATACATTTACTAGGGGGAGGGGAGGAACAACACTTAGTAAATATGAATCTTTACCTGTAATGCCCGAATTTCTCATTTAAAGCTGACAAGTCAACCATATCAGGGCATTTTTCTTTGTCCTCCTTATCACTGCAGCACCATCCTTGACCTCTATGATTTTCAAATTCAGCAGCATTTTCAGATTTGCCCTTGAAAAAAGCAATTGCAGAACTCTCGGCATCTTCACCAGACTTGCCAAGCATAACTTGCCCTTCAACTTTTTCTAAGGCTGAATGCAGCTTTGACATATTCAGCCTTTGTGTATTTTCACTGCTTTCAGTTGTATCAGCCTCTTCCTTGCTATATATAAAGCTGTTAGTACTGCTTTCAGAGAAAGCACACACTTCATAGTTGAAGTCTGCACTGTTTTCTTTGTCTTTGCTGAAGAAGTTGATCTTATTCTCAGCATCTTCTACAGATTCTGTTGTATTATCTGTTGCATTATCATCCTCATCAGAACCTGGTGAATAAAGCAGTTCAATACCTTCCTCCATTTCTTTTGCATAGCCACTGGCAGCAATCTCTCTATCAAGACAACATTCTCTCCTGTGAAAGAAATATGTATGCTTTTAATATGTTGAATTATCAATCTACCAATATTTTAGATTAAAATGTTAATGCAGCTAGATTATAATTACCCATAATCTTAATAAAGAGGATACTCTGTTGAAACAAGCAGACCACCATATTACAGCACCAAGCTTTAGGTAAGAGTATTAACAGAATGTGACCTGAGAGAAGCAAACTTCTACAGGAGATGGATAATTCCATCTCCAGAATCAGCATTTATTTGGGTTTTTTTATTATTTTTTTAGGAAATTACTTTATTTCAGCAGAAAAAATTACAATTTGGCCTGAAGTTCAAATTATATTTAGAGAAGAAGAATACTGGCAGGTACACCGACATACAGAGACTGATTCAAGTGTGGTACCCTCCTGGAAAAGTGCTCAGAATGAAATAAAACCTTTTCCATTGTAACAGCTTCCCTATTAAAATAAATGCAAAATTATCTTCCTTTTCAAGCGGGGCAAAAGACCTCAGGAAGAAAACTTGGAACACATTAATATTTGAAGAGGCAGCCACCATATTTAGCACCTTTTAAAAATAAATTTAGAATTGAAACCCAAATTGAACCTTAATATGCTAGAATTGTCAAATAGCCTTTGAGAAGTGCAAGAAACTGATTCTGTGTGAGTTAAAATTTCCCAGATATTTACCATTTGGATCAAGCTTTCAGACTGATCTCTCTCCCTTAACTGCAAGAGGAAAGACAAAGGAGGCAGCAGCAGATTCTAAAGCACTTCAAAAACTAGTTTTTGAAAACCACTCATGGTAACTAGTTGAAGAAAACACAATAGGAACCTCAAAAATATTATTTAAAGTTGCAGAGTTGGGCCTATTTTTTTTTGCTATGCCATCTCCAACAGACACCCATTTCCTCATAAAACCAATACAAATATCACAAATAGGAGAAATCAAATTTATCTGGTAGTTTCTACCTGACATCTTTGAATGCTGGGAAGAGCTCACTCTCGTAACTGAAGCGTTTCTTAAAGAACTCCTTAATACAGTTAACATCTCTGTCAAAATACCTGTAAAAAACACAAGAATTGTACAAACACAAAATCAATGTAATGAAGTCTACTGTCATGACAAGCTTTTACTCTACATTTCTTGTCTTTTAATATTCTATTTGAAAACTATTTCTGTTAGACATCCCAAGACAAAAGGCTAGGGAAACAAACTGCATGCTATTTATTTCTAAGCACTTCGTAACAAAATGACCTGTTGAGATGCATCTGCAAGTCCTGAGCAAACTGGTTCAAAAAGGTCAAACGCAAGATCCTGCACTTGGGTCAGGGCAACCCCAAGCAAAAATACAGGCTGAGTGATGAGTGGATTGAGAGCAGATCTACATAGAAGCATTTGAGGTGAAGGTGGATGAAAAACTGAACATGAGCCAACAAAATGTGCTTGCAGCCCAGAAGCCCAATTGCATCCTGGGCTGCACCAAAAGAAGTGTGGCCAGCAGGCTAAGGGAGGTGATTCTGCACCTCTACTCCATTCTCAAGAGATCCCACCATAAGAACTCTGTTCAGCTCTGGGAGCCCCAGTGTAAGAAATACATGGTGGACCTGCTCAAGTCGGCCCAGAGGAAGGCCACAATGAAGATCAGGGGGCTGGAGGATATCCCGTATGAGGACAGGCTGAGAGGTTAGGTTGTTCAAGATAGGGAAGAAACGGTTCCAGTGAGACATTACAGCAACCTTCCAGTACTTACAGGAGGCCTACATGAAAGAAGGGAAGGGACTCTTTATCAGTGAGTGTAGAAATAAAATGAGGGATAGTCGTTTCAAACTGAAAGAGGGTAAACTTAGATTAGATATTAGGAAGGTAATATTTTCTGTGAGGATGGTGAGACACTAGAACAGGGTGCCTAGAGATGCTGTGGATGCCCTCTTCTGCGAAGTGTTCAAGTCCAGGTTGGATGGCGCTTTGAGTAATCTGATCTAGTTAGTGTCCCTTCCCATGGCAGGTGGGCAGATCATCTTTAAGGTTCCTTCCAACCCAAACCATTCTATGATTCTGTGATCCTTTCTGAGAAGCAATTAATTACATATTTATCCTAAAGAGACATACCCATTCATTCATAAATCAAACTATTGTTTGTTATTTGTGCTGCATTACAACAACGGTAGAGAAAGTATCAGAAACAGGCTCATGGAAATATGCTGTGGCTGACTATTTGCTGTCATTAGAACTTTTCAGTTTTACTTTGAAAACATGTTTAAATTTGAACGTACCATTCAGCATTTGCATGTGATGTTGATATCATCTGAGGGAAATCAATCATAGTGACATGGTCGTCATTATCCAATATGAGATTAAATTCATTGAAATCACCATGAATCAAACCATGACTGGCCAGTTTTACAACTAAATCCATTAATTCACTGTACACAGAGGCAGGATCTTCCAGCTGGTGCACGTGACACCTAGAAAGTTAAATAAAATAAAATATTCTGAACCTTGACAGACTTAATATGAAATACATCAGACAGAATGCCAGGGTAATTCAGGTTAAAGGGCCTTCAGGTTTCTGGTCCTCCTTAAAGCTGAGAAAACGCTGAGATCACACTAGATTGCTCAGGGCTTTGTCTAGTTGGAGCTTGAAAAATTCCAGGGAATGAGAGACTGTGAAACCTCCCCAAGCACCCTGTGTCACCGCCTCACTGTCCTTAATAGAAGAAAATGTCTCCTTATATCCAGGCTAAATCTCATTTCAACTTACGCTCTTTATCTTCCATCAGGCTCATTATGCCATAATGCATTATTCAAATAACAGATCTGCAAATTTTTATGTCTATTTTAGATAAGCTTATGGTCTCAGTAGGAACTAGATCTTTCTGTATTCAAATGCCTCATAACATCTTCCTTTATAAAAAAGTATTTTCTAAATTAAGTTCAGCATTCCTGAACGTACACCCAAGAAACTAAAGTACCTTAAGTGGCAAAATAGAAACCACCTGCTCTTTAGGAACAAACCACGTAAAAATGCTCTTATCTTACTGTCCTATAAACTGTCAAGAAGTGGTCAGCATTTACAGTTAACTATTTCGGTCCAAATGCAGCACTACAGTATTATGAGATTCTATCATCTGTACAATACAAGGAAAAACAATGGAAGTCTAGCAGCTCTGTAAGAGGCTCCTGTTGAACACTTTCACATTCATAACAAAATTCCTTGGTTACACTTCTCATAGCTACAGGTACATATGTTAAAATGTCCCACTTGCTTTTAGAAATTTTTATCTTCTGAGACAGGAATCTCAGGCCCCAGGAACCAGGGAGAAGGGCTAGAGCAAAGAAGATGTACCCTCAGTGGAAAAGTTCAAGGAATACTTAAGCAAACCAGACACATCTATATTCATGGACCCTGCTGGAACCTGGCAGGTGTCACTGCAAGGCCACTCTTGATAATCATTGATCAATCATAGTTACTGAGAGAAGCACCTGAACACTGGAGAAAGGCAAACATCACTCCCATCCTCAAGAAGGGCAAGAAGATGGACCCAGGGAACTAAAGGCTGGTCAGCTTCACTTTGAGCCCTAGAAAAGCGATTGAGTTGCTAATCCTGGAAACCAGACATTAAGGATAAGAAAATCATCCAAAGTAGTCACTTTCACCGAGGAGATGCTTGATCAGCTTGATAAACCTAGAAAAGTGATTGAGTTGCTAATCCTGGAAACCAGACACACACATTAAGGATAAGAAAATCATCCAAAGTAGTCACTTTCACCGAGGAGATGCTTGATCAGCTTGATAAACTTGTTGATGTACAGTCTAAATTTGCAGACAGTGAGGTGGACTGAAAAATGAATGGCTGGGCACAAAGCCAAGTTGGTGGCCAGTCACTAGCTGTGTACCCCAGCACTTGAAAGAGATTCCAGGCTGCTATAACACTTCCATTACTGAACTTGATGACAGGGCAGTTTGCAGATGACACCAAACTGGGAGTGGCCGATATGCCACAGAGGGATGTCAACAGGCTAGAGAAATGGGTCAGCATGAAACTCATGAAGTTCAATGAGCAGTGCAAAGTCCTTGCACATGGGAAGGAACAACCCCATACACCAGTACACACTTGGGTGTCACTCAGCTGAAAAGCAGTTTGGCAGAGAAGGACCTGGAGGTCCTGACAGACACCAAATTGAATATGAGTCAAGAATGTGTCCTTGCTGTAAAGGCAGCTAACGGTATTCTAGGTTGCATTAGACAAAGCACTGCCAGTAGGTCCAGGGAGGTGATCCTCCTCCTTTATTTAACTCTGGTGAGAACATACTATTACTAGTGTGTCCAGCAATGACCAATGACAGAACAAGAGACGATTGGCACAAGCTGAAACACAAGAAGGTCTATCTGAACACAGGGAAAACTTTTTCCATGATGAGGGTGAGTGGGCCCTGGAACAAGTTGTCCAATGAAGTTGTGGAGTCCTCCTCCTTTGAGATATTTGAAAGCCATCTGGACATGGTCCTGGAAAACCACCTCTGGCTGGCCCTGTTTAAGCAGGGTGATTAGACCAGATGGCTTCTGGAGGTCGCCTCAGAATTTAACCATTCTGTGACTCTTGGAGATGTGAAATAAAGTGGGGAGACTATGAAAAACTAAGTCCAATTTGGCAGGAACTTTGGATAACCTTGTACTTGCCGAAGAGCGCATAAAAACTGTTTGTCATAAGCTACTAACTCTACACTAGTTTTTCAACTCTGGTAATGGACAACGGTAAACCCGCCAACGGAGTCTATGTGGTCCTGTAGGTACCAGATGACTGCCAGATATCCCTTTCAACCTCAGCTATTTGGAGATTCTTTGATCTTGGCATATTTGAAATAATTCTCATCCAGTACTCATCTCCTTCAGGTTAGAATCACAAAACAGGGAGAGTATGGTAAATTTCCACTGCAGATGTCTATATGGAACTTGAAGTGCTCCACATACACAGATGACACCAATCTAAGTTGTGTGGTTGACATGCATGAGGGATAGGATATTATCCAGGGGGACCTGAACAAACTTGAGAAGTGCACTGGCCATGAGCCAACGAAATGTGCTTGCAGCCCAGAAGACCAATTGTATCCTGGGCTGCATCAAAGTAAGTGTGGCCAGCAGGTCAAGGGAGGTGATTCTGCCTCTCTACTCTAGCGAGAACATACCTTGACCTGAAGCCCTCAGGACAAGACATAGACTTGTTGCTTCAGGTCCAGAGGACCACAATCATGATCAGAGGGGTGCAACACCTCTCCTATTAAGAAAGGCTGAGTTTGGGATTGTTTAGCCTCAAGAAGACAAGGGTCCAGGGAGACCTTACTAGTCTTTCAATACTTAAAGAGGGCCTATAAGATGGGAAGAATTTTCTTAGCAGGATCTGTTGTGATAGGATAAGAAGTGATAATTTTAAACTAGAAAAGAGTAGATTTAGACTAGATTTAAGGAAGAAATTTTTTACAATGAGGGTGGTGAAACACTGGAACCGGGTGCCTAGAGAGGTGTTAGAAGCCCCATGTCTGCAAACACTCAAGGTCACGTAGGACAGAGCACTGAGCAATCTGATATAATTAAAGATATCCATGCTCACTGCAGGGGTTTCTACTAGATGACCTTTAAAGGTCCCTTCTATCCCGAAACATTCTATTATTCTACGTAATGCATGTGCAATTGCGAGCAGGGAGACAATGTAAGGACATCTCTTTCATGTTATTCTTCAACTGTTACACTTCGGGATTAAATCCCTTTAGATTAAATTGCCCACTTTAGAGCTTTATTATACATGAGCATGGACTGGTTTGTTCTAGAACTAGACACTTCATATCTCTGGATAAGTAAGCACCTAGTCTATTCTACACTATGATAAGTATATAGGCCTTTTGCACTCTGCAAATGAAACAAACTGTACCATCATGTACAAACTTCAATGTTATTTAACGTTTCCAGATATTGAACAACTCAAAAGTAATCTTCCTTGAAGAAGCAAAATGAAATTATACATGGTGTTCTCTGTAAACAGAGCAGAGGTTCTAACACAGTGAGTTATAACCTTATCTGCATTGCCAGAGCAAGAATCATGAACCGGAGCTCAGAATGTGAAGGATATTATATTCAGTATTATAACTGTATTACATTATATAAGTATTGTAACCAATAACATATAGAATATGGGATTTCTCTTTAGAAAACAGTTGCAGTGCTAACTTCCATCACGCTGCTATTTTGATGTATGCCTTACTTTTAAAATCATTCTATTTCACCAGTTTCTTTGGTCTAAGAAAAAAACAATTTCTCTGAATGAAGACATAAAAGAAGCAAGACCATAACGAAGTAGAATGAAAGTGACTGTCACCTAAAGAGCACTATTCAGTATGGTAAAGTCCAAATTCACTTAAATGAAAAAGAACTGAAGCTTTGGTACTTACAAAGGATAGCCATCAATAAGTTCCATAACAACTGCATGCCTGTTGTAGTCTACAGGTCTTGGAACAGGAAATTTTCTATCATGCAAAGCCTGGACAGATGCAATACATTGAAAAAATAAAACTAAATAGTTGAGAAAACATTACATATATTGATATGCAATAAGTATTACTGTGGAGCCAGCAGACATTACTCAAATGCTAACTGGGAAAATCAAATCACACGCTTGAGAAGGAAGATGGCAAAACAACCATCTGAACTTTCACTGCAAAGATAAGTAAAATTTGGAAGTTTTGAAACTAAATGCACTGCTATATTGCCTACAGTTTAATTATTGTGCATCTGGAAGAAAAATACAACAGAATGATAAAAATGACAGAATCATATCTGGTCTATTAGCCCAAGTAATCAAAAGCATATAATTGGGAATAGGGTGTCAGACATTAGAAGAAAATTCCACACTGATCTGCTGCCAATATAGTACTGACTGACTAGTTAATCTATATTCAGTTATTCTAAGGAAAAAGTTCATCCTTAAATATTAATAACCAGCATCAGACTACAGTAATGATCAACCAAAGGTACGTCATAATATTTTGTAGCTCTCCTGTTTGACTTTTCTAATGAAAATTTATTCCTTCACTTGATCCGCTCAACTTCTGTATGGGGTAATTCTCTTTTTAGTCATTCTCTTGTTACTAGTGACTTTTTTCTAAGACAGAGTTCTAAGTTAAAGAAATATCAGTACAGCTTTTTCTACACAAATATTAAACTACTATCACTTTTCAACACACAAGGAATCCTCCTGCAACACTTCAGGGAAACTTACACCAATTATTCTATTCCTTCAAGTTCTAACCACTTTACCAACTGGACAACTGGACCAATACAGAGGTTCTAAATAATGGTAATTATTCTTTCTGTCTCTGCAGAGGCCACTGGTAGAACCTATCAAGGTTTTTTAAGAGAAACATGAAAACAATATTCAATGTATATAGTACTCCTGAATAGGCCAAAGAAAGGAAAACTAGATTCTTATAAATAGTTTTCAACATTCATCTTCCAAACACTATATTATACCTGCATTTTTTAAAGAAGTTCAAAAAATGTGAACTCAAAGAGCAGCAATATATGCTTGGAAATTAAATTTTTTCCTATCGTATAGAACAAAGTGTGCCTTTTCAGATCAGAACATCATTCTGGACTGAAAGATTTCCCTCAAGAGCACATCAACAACTGACAACATGGTAAATCTAAAAATAAATAAATAATTTTTTAAAAATGACAGCTGAACAAAAAAATAATTCTGACAAGTAACTACGGATTTCCTTACTTTTTAAGGTGTTTTTGCAAGCTTATGCAACAAATTTTTAACGAAAAACAGCACAAGTGGTGATACATAAATTATCTATCCATAAATAACAAAACTTGAAATTCTCTCATGACACCTGCTTCTGTTCCACATGACTTCCATAGTCATGTTATTGCCATTAGAAAGTGTATAAAACACATAGCATTGAAATTCTCTGTAATGCATACTTTAAGTCCATTGATAAAAGAAAAAAAAGTGTAAATGCCACCAGTACTGAAAATATGAACTGTTCAAAATTCAGTTTGAAATGTACTTTGTAGCCTATTACACCATTGCTGATTTTTTATAAATGGCCACCTACCTTCATATAGGCAAACTCCTTCATTGCCGCTAGCCGGGATAAATACAGCCATGACATTTTATGTCTGTACTTGTGGTAGTCACGTTTATTTTTCAGACTGCGAAAGGAAGTTCTTCCAAGTCTATGTAATTTCAATGCAAACTCCTGCTCATCTTCATTTGCCACAATATAAATATCTAGAAGATGCATAATGGCATAGATATAAGAACTAAATGATATCTAACAAGCTAGTACCTGATTAAGAACTGCAGTTATGAGATTTTTATTTCATTTCTCACTATTACTACTTCTAGCATGGCAAGATCTACTACACATTGTATACTATTACATATTGTATACTAGAGACCTGAAGAAGAAAAAATTATTGTTAAAGAGATTATGGTACTCCAGCAGAAGACATACTGATGTGATCAGAAACATCTTTCAGAGTAGCAGATCTTCCTAAATTCAGGATAACATCCCCAGGTTACCTGTACAGCAAAGAACAAATATAAGCTATCCTTGAAAGAAATGTATGGCGGATGTTGATTTTTCTCATTCACATTCTGGAAGAAACACCTTCTTTCTATTGAGTGGACAGACAACCTAAGGGATCAGCTTCCTAATTTCAACAGTGTTAAAAAACAGCCTACGTTTCATTTCTATCATTTGTCTGAAATAATCCCCTTCTCAAACTTGTTACATGCTGTATCAAATTACACTCTTTATGAACGTAAGAAGAACCAAGATAGTACTCTAATAGTTTAGAGTCCATTTCGCTTGAGTTATTTTCAATGGCATGGAAAACGTACAATTATCTTTTTGCTAAAATAGTTCAAATTTTTTCACAAAACAGGAGACAAACGGTATGTGCCTGTAAAGTACTTTTTTAAGTGATGAACCAAGAATCAGACAAAATGGTCAAAGCAGAACAATACTTCTGTGAAGACATATTCAAACGCACGCAGAAGCCTAACACAGCATTTCAACAAGTAACCCATAAATCTTGATGTTGGACAGATTAACTGAAAAAAAAAATGCTACATTAAAGCTGTGTTTACTGAAAAAAAATTATTTGAAATGTTTGATTTTTTCAATTACCTGATTCTTTGCCAACACCCATTTGGTTTCCAACAGAACTTACGACTTGTCGGGAAGACAGAGTTTTCAAAGCAAGGTAATCATATCCCGCATTAGTTAACCGGTAACCCTGGACAGCTAGGTAAGAATAAAACACATGACATGTCATTCCTCATGTATACATTACACTTAAAATAAGTCTCAGTTCAGTCTTGTTTCAGCTTACAGTACACAACACCCAACTAACACTTCACCCATTGGTTACTACTAGCCCAATCTGACAGAATGGTAAAGACATTTAAATTCCTGGAAGTTTCATGAAAACTGACAACAGGGCAAAAGATAGACATGCTATGAGGTTCACTCTAATAGAGGCAATGGCAGTACTTGAAATAGCCCGGGAAAACTGAAGTAGCATTTTGGAAGATGCAAATATAGTATACGCAGGAGGAATCTGGGATTATTGTGATGATCTAGGGCAAGTCTCAATGCCCTGAAGAACTGGGAGAAAAAAAGATAGGAATTTCATGTAAACTCCTACAGTATGTCTGCAAAGCCAGATGCAACTAATAGGCTCAAGGAAAAAGTGAAAGGCTGATACAGCTATGTGCAGAAATAACGGAAGATTGGTGAGGAAGATTGTAAACATGCTCAAGTGACTTGCAGCTGAGGTGTTCAGAAACATATATGTCATTCTAACTGTTGTCTATCCTTGAGTGTTTGACAAGTAGAACATCTACGCTCAGATCACATGCGTCTGGTAAGACTCAGAGGCACCTTATCAAATGTGCTTTTAGATTCCTACCATGTTGCGGGAAAGATCATAGAATCGTGAAATGCATTGTGCTGGAAGGGATTGTTAAAGGTCATCTAGTTCCACACCACCCTGCAGTGAGCAGGGACATCTTGAACTAGATCAGGTTGGCCAGGGCTCCATCAAGCCTGACCCTGAATGCCTCCAGGGATGGAGCCCCCACCATCTCTCTTTTCCAGTATTTCACCATCCTCATAGTAAAGAATTTCTTTCTAAGACCTAATCTAAATCTGCTCTGCTCTAGTTTAAAACCATTCCCCCCAGTCCTGGCACTACATGCCCTTGCAAGCGGTACCTCCCCAGCTTTCTTCTAGATCCCCTGGAGGTACTGGGAATGCTGCTATAAGGTCTCCCCAGAGCCTTCTCTTCTTTAGGCTGAACAATCCCAACTTTCTTAGCCTGTCTTTGTAGGAGAGATAGTCCAGCCCTCTGATCATTTTTGTCAGCTTTCATCTGGACCTGTCGCAACAGGTCTATGTCCTTGTGTTAAGGGCTCCAGAGCTAGACACGATACTCCAGGTAAGGTCTCACCAGAGCACAGCAGAGGGGCAGAATCACCTCTCTCAGTCTGCTGGCCTTGCTGCTTTTGATGCAGCCCAGCATGCGACTTACCTTCTGCGCCGTGAACATGCATGTCCAGCTTTTTTTCCACCACTACTCCTATCTCCTTTTCTGCAATGCTATTCTCTATCACATCAAAGCACAATGGAAAATTACACTTGCAAAAATCTCTGACATACACGCAAAAGCAAGGACCAAGATACGTGACGCATGCATTCTCGCTTGTTTGTGCCTCTGCCTGGGTGCTGGTGCAGACAGTCCCCAGGGTTCATGAGCTAATGAGAATAAACCAACATTTTGGATTTCATCCATGGTTTTGTGGTTGCTCCCGTGTCCTGCCTGTGCTGGCTCACAAAAACTACTACTTTTCATATGATAGGGAATAATAACTACTTTAACAGCTGTTTCTGAGTGAGTGAAACGTAAAAGGCTTTTGCAATGTGCTACAGTTTGTCTACCACAAGACTCATTGCTTTGATTCCTGTAGGCATTTGAATATTGCTTTAACAGGTGATTATTTGATTTTTCATTACTTTGGTGACTGTGCAAAAAAGAAAGTTAACTGCTCATGTCTTTTATTGCCTGTCATCGTTACACATATAAGCAGCAGAAGAGACAGCTGCAATATTTGGTGCTGCACAAATGCCTATTCCCAGGGTAGGTCCAAAAGAAGGTAAGGCTAGCAAGTGGTCTGGATGCTCACCCATGACAGGCTACAGTAGTTCTGCAAGTATCACTGTGAAGCATTGGGGACAGAATGAGAGAGAGCCCAACATAGAATTAAAACTTACTTTTAGTTCGCTCATAAGCTAGAAGTTTGTGCTTCACCAACTCTCTCAAAATTTTATTACAGCCACCATGTTTAAGGCTGGCAATGGAAGCAATTAAGCTAGCAGAAACTATCTCATGGTTCTTCATGCTCATTTCCACCTGAAAAAATAAAATCAGATTTGTTAGCCCCTGTGTCTAACAATGAAATACTTGCTCCATTTAAGACTAAGATCACTTTTCGTGGATGCATTATTATTATTTTTTATGACTTAAACAAACCTTTTCACTACCCTTTGTAATTCTTTGTGTAATTCAGCCTTGAAAATTCTACAGTACTGACCAAAAGATGAATCACTGATTAGATTTCAGTTCAAGAAGTGGATAAAGGAGTTGTTCTGTATTTCTGACGAGATATTCTTTTCTCATAATTACACCGCCATGGCTCAATTTGCCTTTGTACTTGTACTCCTGCTGTCCATATAGACAGATCAACTGATGCAGCCTTCCCTTACCGCGCAACCAACCACGGCAGCATGCTGCACACTAGTACTTTGCTTGCTCCTCATTAGGATCGGTGCCAAAAGCAACCAGCACGTGAGGGTAAACCGGGGACGGTACCTTACTGGGTGGCCACTACCTGGCCAGCCCTGCCGTTTACAGTCGGTCCCAGGAGGCCATCTCAAGGAAAGCACGGCACAACCTGGGCTCTCTGCACTCGGAAACACCAACATCAGACGCTAGGAGAGGCAGTGACAACAGAGGGAGTTCCCACAACCCTGCTGCCTTTCTTCCGCAGCAGTCCCCGACACAACCAATATGGTCTCCCATCCGTTCACGGAACTTGCCTGACGCTGTCTTGTCTAATTGGCCATGCGGAACTTAATGCGCCTGGCTCGGCTAGTCAGGCCGCACCCGCCAGGCCGACTTGGCTGCCCTCCCACATCAAGGCCTCCCCACAGGCTCACCGCTGTCAGGACCCTGAAGTGCTCCCTGGAGAGGTACCGAAGCATCACCACGTTCAGCTTCCCCATGACCGCGGCGGCCGTTAAACGTCAGCGGCACGAAGAGAGAAGCGGTACTTAACTCCGCGCGGAAACGCACCAATAGCTCGGTGCCCCTCCGACGCATGTGCAACGTTTACGACACTGCCGCAGCAAGCTCCTCCCAGGCCGAAGCTGGTTCGTGTGTGGGTCTTGGCAGCTGCGTAAGGAGTCACGGCTGCAGCTGCGTGTTTGTTTGATTCCTTCGTCACCGAGTCATTATAGACTGAAAATCGAAACAGAACAAACCTCTCCTCCGAGATCGGCTTGACCTCTCGTCCTATAACTAATGATTTAGTTGGGTGGTGTGTGCATCTGCTAAGACCGACTCCTTAAATAACCCCCTTCTAGTGTGCACTTCAGCTACAATCGGGCCTCGAGCAGCTCGGACGCGGCCGGTATGTGATGCGCCTGCGGCCTCTAAGTGGTGGGGAGGCAAGCTGTATGCTTGCAGCCGTATTATCGTGCGTTGTCTGCGCGCCGAGCGATGTCCAGGGATAGGGTTCGTGCCCACGGGTGTGTGTTGTGTGTGACTGTGACTCAACAGCTATTTCTTCGATTTTTTTCTTTTAATTATACTCGATACTAGGACTGAAAGAAGTAGTAAAACTGATAGGACAGAAAAATTCCAATCTTATTGACTGGGAAAGTGGGGATTGTTCTTCGTCCCTTCTTCAACCCATTTGAGGAAAAGGTGTTAGTCTGAACTCGAGTTTACTAACTGAGAAATGAAATGCTTTTAGTGCTTTCTTGGTAACTATTCTGTATTGCGTGTCAGACTGCAGTGATCTGACACAATTATTATGTAGCGGTAATGAAAAACTCCCCTACTGCTTTATATTGTAACTACCTGTGATGAAAACATTTTTGGTGAACTACTTGTCTACAGCGTTCTTCAGATTGTTTATCAAGGTCTTTAAATGGTGAAAAGTGTATCGTTCTGTTGACTGAATCCAGTAATCCTTGATACTTTTTATTTTCAAAACTTAAACATTGCTATAAAATGTGCCTTGTTCCCCCTTTCTTTTTCTTTTCTCTTTTTAAGCTTTTCTGACATGCAAGTCAGGAAGGTGTTAACTTACTAACCGAGTATCTTTGAGAAAAGGTCTATATATATTTTGTGTATTTTTTGTCTTGTAATAAGTTGCCAGCAGTACAGGCAGAAGCTGGGTATGGATATCTGAAATAATTTATGTGTGCAGTGCACTTGCCTATGATAACAGTGCTCTCTGAGTAGTGAGGATTATGCGGAGGAATGGCATATGTATGCTGTGTTCTAAGTCTATACAGCAAACAGTGTATGCACAAGTCTAATTTCATAGAATGGCTTGAGTTGGAAGGGACATTAAAGATCATCTAGTTTCAACCCTTCTGCTATGGGCAGGGACACCTTCTGTGGGACAAAGCCTATTGTTCAAAGCCTGTTGTTCAAAGCCTCATCCAGCTGGTCATGAACACTTACAGGGTGGAGGCATCTACAGCTTCTCTGGGCAACCTGTTTCAGTGTCTCACCACTCTCATGGTAAAGAACTTCTTCCTAATATCTAAGCAAAGTCTACTCTGCTCTAGTTTAAAACCATTGCCCCTTGTCCTATCACCACATGCTCTTGTAAAAAGTCCCTCCCCATCTTTCTTGTAGGCCCCCTTCAGGTACTGAAAATGCCACTATAAAGTCTCCCCAGAGCCTTCTCTTCTCCAGGCTGAACAGACCCAACTCCCTTAACTTGTCCTCGTAGGAGAGGTGCTCCAGCCCTTTGATCATCTTTGTACTCCTCCTCTGGACCCTCTCCAGCAGATTCTTGTTCTTGTGTTGAGGGCTCCAGAGCTGGATGCAGTACTCCAGGTGGGGGTCTCATAAGAGCAGACAGGCAGAATCACCTCCCTTGACCTGCTGGCCATGCATCTTTTCATGAAGCTTAGGACACAGTTGGCTTTTTGGGCTGCCAGCGTACATTGCCAGGTCACGTTAAGCACTTAGGGCCCAGGACCCCCAAGTCCTTCTGTGCAGGACTGCTCTCAATGCACTTGTTTCCCAGCCTGTATTTGTGCTTCAGATTGTCTGACTTAGGTGCAGGTACTTGCACTTAGCCTTGTTGAACTTCATGAGTCTGGCATGGGCCCACTTCTCCAGCTTGTCAAGGTCTCTCTGGGTGGCATCCCTTCCCTCAAGTGTGTCAACCGCACCACACAGCTTGGTGTTTATAAGCAAACTTGCTGAGGGTGATAGGTCAGCCTCATCCCATGGACATGTGTCTTCTACAAAACTCAGGCCCTGAGGGACTCATGAGGAGGAACAGGATTGCTTCCTGTGAGGTGGACACCATGTGGCAGAAGGAGAGACTGCTAGGAGCCCTCTTTCTCAAGCGGGAGCTGACATGGACAATGACTAATGGCCAGATGGACTGCACCCCCTATCCCCTTTCCCCCTTGCACTGATGGAGGTGAGGCAGTAGCCAGGGAGATAGGAGGGGTGACGGGCGCGAAGTGTATTTATGTCATGTTTATTGATGTATTCTTCTTACTATTCTACTTTGTAAATGGTGAAGTAGTGAATTAAATCTATGGTTTTTTCTTATCCAAGTAACTCTAGTTCTTTACTGGTCATCTTAAATGGTAGATTATTACCCTCTCTATCCTTAATCTCAGACCCTTGAGCCTTTTTATTTGAAGTTGCCTCCCTCCACAGCACTGTGGTCATGGAGGTGGGGGGAAGAGTGAGCTAGAGACTGCGTGGTTCTTTGTCCCAATTGGCCTGAACTATGACAGCACCCCTGACAGCTAAGGCACTGGCCTGCAGGGATGAAATTTTGGGGTGAAGAAGACTCTCTCCACAACTGGCATATCCATATTTGGGTAATACATTGTTGCCAAGTGGTTAGAATGTGATGCTGGAGCACTTTGAATCACCTTCCTCCACATGGCCTGTGTGCACAGGACATCCTCTAGATTTTTGGATCATTTTCTAGAACACTGTGGGTGACTTCAGCTCTGCTAATTCTCTCAGGTACTGGCTGCCTTTGTCTGCAGTAACCTGTGTTTCTGGGGAGTTCACAAGATCTTTTTTGAATGGATATCTTGCCCTCAGAGTTGTGAGGAGTCATGTCCAGAAACTGTAAATTGCTACTTCTTCTCCAATTCCTCTATCAATTCCCCAGTTTCTAGCAAAGGGATGTCAGCTGTTGGATTTGGTCATGGTAGCATTGGGTAGACAGTGGTAGATGGTCTTAGAAGACTTTTCCAACTTTAATGATTCTCTGATTATATACTTCTCTGCCCTCTAGTTGCTGCCTCTTGGCCCTATTATTCCAGCATCAGAGCAGCCAGGCAAACATCTGCTCACCTGGCTTGCAGCTTTAATCTTGCTGTATATCTTAAAGTTCTGATGAGGTCAGGGACTGGGTAGTTTCTGCTTCCTATTTTATTTCATTCACTTCTTCCAATTTCCCAGTCAAAGGACCAGTGTCTTAATCAAACCCTTCCTCTTCTTCTTCCTGCCTTATTAATCAGTGATATGGACTCTTTGACCTTCTTGCCCACTGTTTCTTTTTCACTACTGGGGCAATTACTGTAGTTGTACAGCGCTAGAAGCTACTGGTTTTCATTGGGGTAGGCAAAGCACCCTTCTATCAGGTGGCATGTGACTTTGCCAGGGTTGCTTGCTTAGTCGTAGGTCATGAGAGGTGATAATCATCTTAGGAATCTACCCAAACCCTTCCACACACCCTGCCACTGAAGGACTGGTCACCTCAGAGCATGTTTCAGTACCACCTTGCCCAAAACTTGTGTTCTCTTATACCAGGATGAGAATATATTCCACAAAGCCCATAATACAGCAATATTATTAATTAATAGTATTAAACAGCTCACATAAGGGTGAAAAGGGACCTTGGAAGCCTGCATGATAAAAAAATCCACATCAATCCTGGATAGGGAGCAGGAAATGTATTCTCTCCTCTTCTTCACAGGGTAGCTCCTGCAGCACAGCAAGGACATCAACACCAGAGCAAAGCACATAGTCATTGTAACAACATGTTCCCAAGTTCCTTCATCCTACCCACAATATAGCTCTCCCAGCACAGTAAGACCATCAGTGTCAGTGCAAAGCACTTTCTTTATTATTTGTGTTAAAATGTTTATTATTTTTAATGTTATTCTTTGTGTTAACATGTTCCCAGGTTGAGTAAAACAGGGATAAGTGGTGCCACCAACAAACTTCATGAGCCATACAGGAGCTTGCCACTTAATAAATACTAAAGCTAAAGCACAGTTACCATAAAACCGCTGTTGTCTTACCCCACGTTGGAAGCCAGAAAGGACTGTGGTGGTTTGACTCTTGTCCTCAGGTGCCCACCAAAGCCACTCTATCACTCCCCCTCCTCAATTAGACAGGGGAGAGAAAATATAACAAAAGGCTCATGGGTCAAGATAAGGACAGAGACATCACTCAGCACTTCGTGTCATGAGCAAAACAGACTCAGCATGGGGAAATTAATTTATTGTCAATCAGATCAGAGAAGGGCAATGAGAAATAAAATCAAATCTTAAAAAAACCCCCTTCCCCTCATCCCTCCCTTCTTCTTGGGCTTAACTTTATTCCCAATTTCTCCACCTACTCCCATGAAGCAGTGCAGGGCAACAGGGAATGGGGGTTGCGGTCAGTTCATTAGATGTTGTCTCTACCGCTTCTTCCTCTTCAAAGGGAACACTCCTCATGCTTCCCCTGCTCCAGTGTGGGGTTCCTCCCATGGGAGACAGTTCTTCACAAACTTCTCTAACGCGAGTCCTTCCCATGGACTCCAGCATGGGTCGCTTCCATAGGGTGCAGTCCTTCAGGACCAGACTGCTCCTGCATGAGTCCCCTGTAGGGTCGCAAGTTCTGCCAGCAAACCTGCTTCTGAGTGGACTCCTCTCTCCACATGGAGAGCAAAGAACTGCTGAGCTGCAGGTCCCCAGCTTGCTCATTTCTCTGCATTCATGGGCTTGATAAAGCAATAGGGAGCTGGTGCTCTACACAAAACTATGTATCACGAAAACCCTGTCGTAAGTTGGAATGATTTGAATTGAAGGGATGAAAATTATCCCAAAAGGTAAAGAACAACCACCTTTTATTGCTTGTATTGATGGATCTGGACTCTGATTGACAGAAGCATCCTAAAGATGTAATTGTGAGGCCTTCTCCACACTTTATTTGAAGCTGAATTTCACCCGTGGAGGGTAGAGAGCACACAACAAAATTCTTCTGTTCCAGATCAACATGCACAGTTGAAGCACCACAGGTAAAGCTAGGTAGTTCTAGTTTCTGCTTATCTTCTTTCTTGCAGCTGAGGCCATAGAGAGGCCTGGAGACATCAGCCTAAGGATACACCTATCCCCAGCTGAACATCCATCTAATCCCTTGTCAGTGACTAAACAAATGTCTCAAACACTCTGGGTTTTCTCTGAACCCAAACAACCCAGAGCCGCCTGCCTAGCACCTACGTGACTCAGCACTTTGCTGAGCCCCCTGCCCCAGCCCTGCACCGGTGCAGGTGTGGGGGCAGGTAGGGCTTGGACCTGTGGCTGCAAGAAGCCGGGAGAAGGATGAGTAACGCCCCCCCAGAAGCCCCCACCATTCCCCAGACCGGTTCCCGGTAATTTTCCACAAGGCCTATGTGGCGGGAACTTGACTGTATAATATAAAGGCGGTTGAACGATCTTCACCCACCACTAGTAGTTGCGTGTGCCATGGTTGTCGCTAGATCCAAGGGTGGTGATGTTTGCTTTTTCTGTCACTTGCTTTCTCTCCCTTTCTAGCCTTAACAAAAGGCTATCTATGTCAAGGCCGGTTTCTTTTGCTTGCTAATATCTCGTTGTTGTGAGGCGTGTTGATTTTGCTAAGTGGATGACTGAAATGCATCGTTTTTAAGTGATTGATAAATAAAACTGGTGTTCAGATCTTTGGCGTGACTCACCTCAGTGTCCTGAAAGCTTGGGATGTGACATCCCTCCAGCCTTCCCTAATGCCTGACCTAAAGATTCAGGTAAGACTATCACAACTCGGTGGAAAGAGCTTGGGAAAACCTGCTTTAATAAATGTTTACTTTCAGGCAGATGGAGAAAGATGAAAAGAGCAATACTAACTGGTCACACCTGTGCTGGCCCGGAAGACGACAAAGCCTCCTGGCAACATGCAAGCTGAGGAGCATGACTCACCCAGGTATCATCTCTGCATTTGATTGCTGTAGCCCTTACCTAGGAACACACCTGGGAAAGAATCCTACCAAAGAAATATACAATATCCTGTTTACTTAAGGTCAGCTCTAGCCAGGGCTTGGTGCCCGGTTCAATAGGGACCAGCTGGACCCAGTCTAAGACCCCATACCCCACTGAAGAGAAAGGGGACACGCAGGTACCAGTCCTAGAAAAGACAGAGCTCAGACTGTATAGACAGTGGCTGAGACCACATCACTCTTGTCTGCAGGCATCCCGGACCATCCAACCGACAGACCGAAGGACAGAGGATCCTGAATCTCAGACCAGCTAGGAAAAGTAAGGCACGCATGCCTCCTGCCTTCTCACGGAGGTAGCTCCGCTCCCCCACGCTTTGACGGTCGCAGAGTGGAAGCCTCGGAGGGACCCAGCTGCGGCAGAACGGAACCAGCGCATCTTGAGACGCTCTCGCCGCGTCCCTTCAGGAAAAAGGACGTTCAGACACTTCCTCACTCACCGGAGAATCTTACTGTTGCCCTGCGTCCTCTTCCTCCCAGGAAACAGCGATGAACCCAAAGGGGCCCCTTAGCAGGGAGTCACCTGGCTAATTCCTTTCCGGTCAGGGCGGACGGTACCACACAGTCCCCGGCTCCTCCCGGCTCTCTCCTTCCGCGGTCACGGCGGTGGGCGGGCCCTGGCAGCGAAATCTGAATGCAGATGCGCGCCCCGCCTCCCTGCTGCGTACTGAGGTTAGACTGGGCTGCGCTGTAATCGGTGCGGGAGGAGTCAGGGTTGTGCTCGCGAGAGACCCCGAGTCCCGGGCTAGGACTCCAAGCTACGGAGAGCACCTGGCTCAGATTGGGAGCGGGACCTGCCGGGAATTCGTGCGCTTAAAGCAGGGCCCTTCCAGTCAGTGGCAGCGGAAGAGCAGTGTGTGTGCGGAGGGAGGAGTCTGCTCGCCTGGTCGCCTTTGCATCTCCACGCGGGCTGCGGTGGGGAGCGCAGCTGGCACACGGCACGCTGGGGTCAGCGCGTTGTGCTGAGAAGCCGCAGCCCGGAGAAGCAATGGCCAAAAGGCTGAAAAAGAC